AAAAAATAAATATTATAAAATATTAATTAATAGCTGATTTAAATTATGTCACTCATAACGATTACCGTCCCTGGTTATAAGTGCACAAAAGGCTCGAAAGTTTTTTGAAAAGTTTCAGGCGGGCGCGAATGAGAGAGGCACTTACTGGATTGTAAAACATGAAATGAAACAATTTTCCCATGCACTCAGGCCGTATTGTCCATTGTACTTGAATAAGAAGCGGAGAGCAGGATGCTTGCATGTATTTATAAAAAAAAAAAATATTTATTAGATCATGTGCGATGATTCAGTGCGATTATATTGGTATTTATTATAAAATATAATAAGTAAAACTGCATGAAATTGAGAAAAATGTGTCAAAAAAATATGGTTTTCGTGATAGTAAATGTTTTACAATCGTATAGCATCAGCGCAACTCGATTTTTCAATGCCAACGTTCTGACCAAAAAAGTTCACCCACTTACGCCTCTTGGCAGACCAAACAAACGCAGAAACTTTTTCCAATCACAAAGAATTTAACTTTATATTAGGAGATCTGTAGGTTGGTCTCTCGGTTGGTTCATGCTGCGGACGCTGCTTTTTTGTCCGCACCACCTTTAGTCAATTATCCAGTCCGCTACTTTCAGTATTGCAAAGACTTTCTATTGAAAGATCATCTAGAGGTGCCAAATCTAACAAAACATTTATAGCCAGTCCTGATGTTTTGCTAATGGCGCCCGTAATGCTTAAACATACACACCTTTATAGCTTGGTTAACATTGAAAATTTTCAATGTCTAACCTCCATTTACTATTTATATAGATCTTATTCAAAACAAGATTAAAAAATACCCTTTATGGTGAGAGCTGATGGATTAAAAATAACTACGAAACATGTAATTAAAAAAAAAACGATTTTTTTAAAGACAAGCTTTACTCAATAAAACTTCCGATTTTTACGCAACTAGAGCGCATTCATTTTGTGTTTAACCATCACTTATGGATGCGACCGTTTTAGCATAGTTTAGTTGAGGCGCTAGATAATGCATCAGTAATAAACCTATTTATGGTTAACGAAAATACTGGGAAACTGAAATAGTTTGAGAGAAAACACGAATATGTTTAGTAGTGCTTCCATAGATTCCAAATAATATTGTGAAGATACGTTTAGAATGACTTAGATGACGCGAGGAGATACAACTTAGAAGGGTATAAGAAAATAATTTTGTTCTGCCGCTATCACCGTTCAATCACATGCAAAATGTAATCAATAAAAGTAATAGAGGAAATTTTTTGGTGTCGATTGCTTATCAAGTGTTCATAGAGTTTTCGACATTACCGTTTTAATGACCAAGAAAAAGAGCAAAGTGTGAACCACTTCAGATCCTGTTCCATGTGCACTTTGGTGTCATTTGTAAAGGTCGAGGTTTCGTTGTCACTTCTATTGGAGAAATTAATTTAGAAGCGAGGGTCTCGAGGTCAGCCTTTTGGATGCCCCAGGTCTCTGCACGCTCTTAGCTGCGGATTTTTCACCAACTTTTCCATTCATCAATACATCTAAGCTTAAAGGTGAAATGCTGCCAAGTCCACTTATTTTCAAAACATAGTTTTAGATGCAGAATGACAGATAATGCGAAGCAACTTAGATTTTTCGTTTCACCTGAATAATTTCTAAAACTGTTTGTGTTAGTGTTTGGCCGAGCTTCTCCTCCGAGTTGTGGCGTGAGCCCTGATGTTGTCACACAAAAAGGGGAGACCTACAGTTTTAGGCCGACTCCGCACGGCGATGGTATTTTTTTGTGAAGCTGTTTTTCATGGAAGAAATTTCACTGTCGAGGGGCGTCCGCTGTTTGGAAAAAAAACCTTTTTTTATATTATAGTTTATTATATAAAAATGAAATATTTATCAAGATTATCGACGAAATAATCTGAAAACTGTTTCAATGATTTATAACACGCGAATTCTTGGAACTACATACATACATATGTACCAGCGAAATTATTATTTTCGTTTTTCCATAAATCAAAGCACTCTAAACTATTTTAGCTGCTTTAGTCTTTATTTTTTATATTCGCATTTCGGTCGCAAGTGCCACACAGTGCGCGCGCCCCGCAAATGCTTATGTAAGCTGCATATAAGTAAGTATGTGCACAGCTGACATGCTACTGATTGAGCAAACTGGCAGACGGCTTCAGCGGTTATTGGCAATTGTCGAATTTTACCGTGACTGCATTTGCAGTTTTTTTAAGCATTTATGTAGATAATTTCCCTTCGCATCCCCATCGTGCGAGTATTTAAGATCCATGTATGTATGAATGTGTGTATGTATGACTGTACGCAAACTGTGTTTTATGATAGAGCAAAAAGCAAAAAGAAAGAAAAACTATTACATATATAAAGATAGCGTGAAAACTTAAGCTGCGAAACGCGCGCGCGTGCCACATCGATCGCGTATAAAGGAATGTTCAAGTGAAATGTGTAAAATTATGTACCTAGTACAGCGACTCTAATATATGTATTCCTAATACTAATCAACAAAATCAACTGTGTGTGTGTGTGTGTGTGTGTCAACATGAATATGTACATCTAATAAATAGTTTCTCTTTGTTGTATGTATTTCTTTCAACCGTTTCCAACTCGCTGACATTTGCCAACATCAATCAAAAACGTCATCGCCGTCACATCGTCACTACCACTACCACACCACATACATAATTGCCTTCTGTCGATAAACGTGTATGCGCGCCGTCGTGCAGTAGTGTAAACTTAGGAAACAGCCTAACAAAAAACAAAAACAAGTGTGAAAAATGCCATCAGCGTTCCGCAGGTGCACGCTGCAGGCCGCGTTACTCGCCTGTCTATGCATGGCTATGTCGCCTTGGCGCGTCAGCGCTAGCATCCTTGAAAAACTTCGCGATGATTCAGATCTGTCGCAGGTAAGTGAAGCCCACCTTACTACACATTAATTTAATGCATTTTTTTTTTTTAAGAATTTTTTATATTTTTTATTTAAGTTGCTTTTATAGTTTCGTTTCTATTTTTGTTCGTTTAATCTTCTTGCTAATGCCAGCGTTAGTAGTGTTGTTGTTGTTTAGTTTGGTTTAGTTCGGTTTGTTAGCCGTTCTTGTTTAAGATCTCGTCCTTGTCGTTGCTCTCCTCGATTCGCTGCTTGCGCTTGTTGTCCTCCACCTTTGACTTTTTGCCTTTGTCCTCTATGCAGCATACGTACAAAGATTTACACATACATATGTATGTGCGCCTATATGTATACTATGTAGTATCAACTTCTATATAAACATTGTACTTATTCAAACAGAGTAGCTGTATATGTTTGTTTAGTGTTTCTGATCCTTTTCAGTTGGCATAATCCTCGCGCACATACATACATACATATGTACATGCATACATACACTTAGGTATTTTCATGTCAACAGTTTGTTACAGTTGGCAACAATTCCCTGACCCAATTCATATTTGCTCCACATCATTCACACTCTCATTCGCATCGCGTTGCAGCGTTTCTAATGGCATTGTTGTTGTCCTTGAATTGCCGCCTACCTGCCCGGTACCTGTATGAGAGCTATGTATGTATGCATTTATGTACATATATAACAGGGTATGTATGCAGTATGCAGCGCGCTCTGGGGAACAGCCAATTTGTGGCCGCGCCGCTGGCAACAGCTGCTCATTCATATTTCAAAGTAGCGTTCAAGCATCATAGCGCCCGAGATGCAGTTTACGCGTCGTGGAATTGAGTTGTGGTGAATAGTGTTTTTTTGTTTTTTTGTTTTTTAACTGACAAATTGTGATTGCGAGCATTGCGTCCTTGACCTCTCCCGTTGAGCGAGAAAGAAAATGTTTGAAGGGAAATGGCAACAACATCAAAAAAGCGCCTCTGGGAATTAGCGTTGCACACAAGTTATATTTAACTTAATGGTTAGAGTACTCGTGTACGCATTTTTATGTATGCACATACATACATACATATTTATGTATGATATATGTTTGTTTAAAAAATCGATAGTTACACAAAACGGCTGCCTTAATTTGTTGCACTGCTGTGAGAGTTTGGCTGGCCGCGGCCTTGTTTCATACGCTTGTGTGTGGCTGTGCTGTGCTGTACTGTGCTTGTGTTCGCATTAGTAGGGTTCGTGTGCTTCCGTTTTAGCACAAGTATAACAAGTACCCCTCACCTGTGCTCACCTTAAGTTAACTAACATCCTGAGTCAGTAGTAATCGATATTTTTCATTTTGCTGCTGCTTTCTTGCTTTATTCGTTTCACCCTTTGGTCGTGCGAATTTTTTTATATTTTCTCAGACTTTTTGACATTTGGCGACCACATCGGATGGTCGAAATTGTGTGTGTGTGCTAATCTGTATACATACGTACATACACATAACGTTTACGTCATCGCTGCGTGTTTTATGGTTTACATAAGGTTTTTTTTTCTTTTTTTTTTTTTTGTATGAAGAAGAAGAGTTGGAACGATACAGGTACTCAATTCTGACGTTACATGTTGTACCTACTGAACCACTTAGCAAAAATCAATATTTGAAAAGTGGATTCGGATGCTGTAAACCTGTTGCTTCTTTGTCATGAATTGATTTGGATTAACTACTTTTAGAGCCGATAGCCATAGCAGCTAGTGCTCAGCCCCTTCCCCTTTAGTCTTAAAATTAATTTTTAATTCTAAATAAATAATAATAACTACTTTTACATAGAAGTAGTCAACAGTAATCTAATTTCAGTGATGTATCTGCTGTAATATATGAATTAACTTTAAAGCTTGCCATGCCTATTAAGCGCCGGACAGCTTTGGTTGGCCAAGGTGGCAATGATGAAACAGATATCAATTTTCTTGGCAACCGGGACCAACTTTTTGATGCCTCTTTTCGCGATCGCCCCCAGATTCGATAGAAGACCGACCACAGCCGGCAGAGCCGCAGTCAATCCGTCTGCATCTCAGCAGGGCTGCACACCGCTCCTAAAAGCGTTGCGGTGTAACAGCGCACTTTAAGGCTATTAAATTTGAAATAAAAAAACGACGTCTTCACTTCTTTAAGTTGCAAAATCTCATAAACGTTGCTTGCTAGAGTACTTCTAGATTCAACGCAAATAATTGCTTAGTAATTAAATGCTTTAATTTTAGGGGTCATGGTGACAGTTGATAAAAAAAAACCTGTTGGGCTTAGAGTGGGAAAGGTAAAAGTCATAAATAAAATACGTCTCATCATTTACTCACTTATAATTATTTCGTACTTCTCTTTTTTTTTAATCGAAAATTGACTTGGAAATGCAGGTGCTAAAGATTATTACCAAAAAAAAAGGTGCGAGTACCGATTCGTCAGGTCTTGAACTTGTATGTAGTTTTCGACCATATAATTAGTGTTTCAGCTTCTTTTCGCGTTATAATCTTCCCCATATTCTACATTTAGGACTTTCTTATAGAAGAGGGAGTCCAAACTAAATTTCATCAAAATCGGATGAAATTTAATGTTTCGGCCCACAAGAGTGGAGGGCATGGTAATTAGCCCATCTTCACCATATTTTATAATTTCCTATCCTTAAGAAAAATTAGAGCACATGTTAAGTTTCAGCTAAATCGGTGCACGTTAACAACTACCAAACACCGTGCGACGTCAGGATTTCTTGAAGACTTTGAAATTTAAAAGGTAGGATTAATTCAAATATCATTTAAAAAACTCAATACAATAGTGTTTCCAGATAAAATAGAAAGTTGTTTAGAATTTAAAAACGTATTATTTTTTGGTTTTGGCGACCTTTTCAATTCTTAATTTGTTGGTTTTTGCCGGCTCGAGGTCAAATTTTTTTATGGAATTTTGATTAAAAACACAGGTTTTTTAATTTTTGTCCAATATATTTCGGTTACACCGCGGTAATCGTCTTCAGGGCAAATTGATGACACGTCTGCTCCGTGTGACGTGGAGTTTTGTACGAGCCGGCAAAAACCAACAAATTATTATTTTTTGGTTCAGAAAGACAAACAGGTATTAGAAATGCCCTTATAATTAATTCAATTTAGTCCTCTTTTAAAAATAAATTTTGCAAATGTTCAAGGATATTCAAGAATAAAATTTTAAAAGGACATTTTCAATACCTATGCGTCCTTCTGCTGCAAAAATTGTTTATTTTTTAATTCTATAGAAATTTCTCTTTTATTTGATACCCACGTTCGATATTTTACATTGTTACTGAAACGCAGTTTTACTATTTCTGGTCCCTAGTGTACACGGTGCACGGTGTTATCATAAGTAATGCGAAACTTAAAAGCATGAGATGCCAACAAACTATGTTTGTACCTAACTACATATGTATGTAGAAGACTAGCGTCTTCCCTTCTAAGAGATATGTATGTAAATTAAAATTTATGAGCTTACTAAGTTCCACACATGGTTCTGTTTCCAGTAGCTTTGTGTTTTAGTCCTTACATTTTCTGCCTGTTGGATCATATACAGGTCATACTCCCGTTGACTTTTAACACCAAATACAGTTTGGAGAGGGACTTACAAAATTATCCACAAAGCCCCCTTCATCTATGATAGCTGAAGGAGAAATGTGCATCTAGCAGAATCTGAGATGATTCCTCACTACTTTCAGTTCAATCACCGTCGTCCTAATAGTCTTGACGTTGCGCTGTAGCTCTCAATAATACTACAAAATTGTGGCGATAAGCTTTTCTTTTCCTGACGTTTAGAATTTTGTAGATCGTCAAAAGATCTCTGAAGAGTACAGCACCTAGAATATTCTGAAAATTTCGCTAATTTGTAACTTTCTCTTACGTATTTACTAAGAGTGCCTAGTCCGGAGTTCCACCCGGGTGACTTAGTACTTCTATTGGTTATATTTATGGCACAAGCTTGCTTGTAAGCATTATACATAGTTTTTGATTGACAGAAAACCGCTTATCTTTTCGCTTATACTTTTCCGAGAATGAGTGCTCGCCAAGAGCTCTTCACTTCGTCACCAATGCCCCAGGCTCAGACTAAAGTCTTACAACGCGCACTTTGCTTTATTGGTTCAAGTGATATTGGGTAATCGAAGAGATGGTCGGTGTCCTATTATAGTTGAGTTTAAGGATTTAAACTCCCTTGCCATTTCGAATGAATTTGTGATGCATAAGGCTGCGATTATCGAAAAAAAAAAACAATCAGCATAAACTTAACTTTCGAGCTGCATTGGCGGGGTTTCTCTATTACGTCAAATTTATTCGCAAACACGTCTCAAAAGAGAGTAATAAACGTCAACTAGTCAACACTGTTCTGAAGTTGAGAAAAAAAAAATATTAAGCTAGGGCTCTTACATCTTGGCATCCACGGCTAAGCTTATCACAAAAACATTGGAAAAAAACGAAGGCTACATTTTTTAAGCACTAAAAATTGTTGATGCCGTAGCCGATAGCTGCCACTGAGAATAAAAGCCTTTGTACGGGAAAGACCAAATCGAGTGAGACTTGGCTTTTGCTACATGGTTTTTGTAATACGCGACTGATAGCAAGTAAAATTAGGAACAGTGAAAAACTGTTTGTAAATCAGGTCAATTGTACTGTATTTTGTTAAATTGTATATATATGTGCATACATATATATATGTACATATGGAGGCATACATATACTGGTAATTATATCGTCATTAACAACTTTTGGGGAAAGTAGGCTTAATTATGCAACAAAACGTTTAGAAAACTTTCCGTAGGTTGATATATTAAAACGTCGAAACTAATTGGTATATTAAACATAATTTAAATGTATGTACATTTATAAATACTTATGTGCAAGTAGTGCCTGTGAGTCATTGCTTCTATAATTTAAATAATGCAAGCTACTGGCGTTCACACCTCGAATGTGTGACTTTCTTTTATGGAATTATTGGTTTCCCCAACAATAAGTAATCATTATTCTGTAAACGTACACGAAGG